GCCGCGGGCTAGCGGGTCGGTAGGGCGCGCCCGGAGGCGGTGTCTGACTTCTGGGCTGCCCCTCTCGGGGGAGCGCTCGGTAGCGGCGTCCGGCTGGGCCTCCGCCATCTCTGGGCATTGCTGGCCGTCGGGTCTTGCCAGGCTCGCTGTGGTGTCGGTGCATGGAGGAGTTTGCAGCGGGCCGCCTGCCTCGGCAAGTTTGTGGAGCACATGGTAGCTGGGTGCTCCCCTGCACCGTGCATCTTTGGCTGGCCCGGATACGAGGGGCATCCCTGTGCGATCCGAAAGTGCCTGAGCTTGCTGTGGTTGCCTCGTTTCCTAGCTTTCTGCGTGCAGTGCAGCACTTGCAAGAAGCTGAGGAGGAAGGGGAACAACAGGTGGGAGAGGGAGACCTCACGTCGTTGATGGCCAGGCATCCATTCTAGTGCCTGGGAAGCGCAATAAGGTTTTCTGGTATCCTCACAGACAACGTCTTTGCTTTGAAACGCTTTCCTGGAAACATTTCTGACTTCTGGGGCCCTGCTACGTGTAACAAAAGGAGTGAAAATGCTGGACAGTTAGTCGTCTTCTGGCTTGGTTGGAGTGTATTCAGGAGGGATTTCAGAGGGTCTGTGTAGGCCACTAATGGGATACATGGAGGGGTTGTTTTGTTACATGTTACTCGGTTTTGTTCTCTGCCCTGTGACACATTTAAATCTTCACAGGGTTTTTTTGGGTACCTGTAGATGTTTGGGCTGTCTGCCTGAGTGTCAAAGTTGCCTCTGACTCCTGCCAGTGCAATATTCTGGCAGCAAGTTTCAGAGGTAAGTTGATATTACTTAAAATCTTCCTCTGATCTGTTTGAAATGGTCTGATAGAGGTTGTCCTCCGGAGCTCCTGATACAGTGTGTAAATAGATGTAGCTGGTGGATTGTTACCTCTCTTCTGTCACTCATTGTGTGAATCTTTTTTAATCCCTTCCCTTATTTCCTTTAGAATTTGATCTAGATTACCTCTTTCATCGATGGCAACCTTTTCTGCTTTCCAGTCATTGTTCTTTCTGGCCTCTTTCTTTTTGTTTTGAGGTGGGCAAGAAAGCTGAGCCCAGGCCTAGGCTGCTGCACTGGTCTCTGGTTTTATAAAGGGCTTGATGATGCTCTATCTTTCAGAAACTGCTTATAGGAGTGTGTTTGCCTTTCAAAATGGCACCACGGATTTGGGGGAGTGCTGTGCAAAGACTGTGCCAGCCCCTTAAATGGTGGGCAAGACTCTAGCCAGTTCATAACTGGCTCATTGAGGGTGATTTGCAGACCCCGATGGTTTTCTGTTTTCTCTTTTATTATCGATTGTTCCTTAAATGAGCAGCCATTCCAGCTCTTTGTTATGCCACAGAGAATCTGAACTTGTTGGTAAAGTCCTTATTTGCCTCTCTTCTCTCTAGGGTCTGTACTTGCTTCTGCTACAGCTGTGTCCTTTTGACTTACTCCAGTTTACTTGTCCTGCACAAGTAAGATCCCTCTTACTCCACTCTGTCCCAGGAAATGTCCTTTTCTGCCATGTCTTCACCTGTTTCCCACACAGGCTCAAGCTGACTGTTCATTGTAGTGTGAGTGTGCTACATGTTGGTGAGCCTGGCTGACCTGTACTACAGTTAGCTTATCTATCAAAAGCAACGAAGATGCAGTGGTCAGGACATCAGGGCTGGCTGTACAGACCCATTCTAGATGTTGCCTTGAATTTTAATTTGGACATAAGATTTACATTCTTGTTCTTTTCTGCCCTTCAGCAGTGCTGCACACAGTAGCCCCCTGCACTGTGAAGTGTTCCTTGTGAAGCAACTCCCTGATCCTAATAAAAAAAATTAAAAAAAAAAAAAATTGGGAAGGAGTGTCACCAGAATCCTTGCTGTTCATTCCTGAACACTTTGACTTGTGACCTCCTGGGAAATTTAAAATTCCCCCACATTGGTTTCCAGTTTTGTGTCTCAGCTAAAATGTGACATGGATGATCGTCCCACCTCTTTCACATTTCTTGTCTGAGATCTGTCAGCGATGGTTTCACATAGTGTAATTGTGCCCAAAAACAGGTGTTAGATTTTTCAGAGGGGTGAATTGATTGCTATTCCTGGGAGCTGATTTACCAGCTTGCAGATACTACCAAGCACCCTGCTCAGTGCATCTGTCTAATTTGAATGAACTGTTGCTTGTAGGTGTCATCTTAACAATGCATTAGCTTTTTTCCTGAGCACTTAAGGCTGAGCTCAACTGCTTTAGCTCTGCCTATTCTTTGTATACTTTTGTGATGCTTCAGTGTTGACAAAAGATGTCTGGAAAAACAAGGTGTATTTGTAGCCATGTATGCTGATAATGCAGCTAGGTGTGCCTTAGGAGTGGTAAGGGAATGAGCTTCACGGCAAGGAACACTAAGCAAGCTTCTGGCAGAAGTGCCAAGCTTCCAACTTTCCAGGACAGGCTTTATTTTTCTTAGAGCTCAAGCATGCCAACGTAATTGTGAGTACAAAGAAACCTTGAGTTTATTATAGCTTCTGCTGCTTTTGCAGCCTCTGTTCATGCAAAGTGATCCATTAGAATCTGAACCACTCTGCTGAAGAGGATTCAGATGCAACGTGAGCTGGAAATGCAGAGCTGCTGTTAATCCTGCATGTGTTGCTCAGTAGGTGCAGGTTACTGGCTGTCTTCATTTTTGGAGCAAAGTCAAAGCTTAAGAAGCGTAAGGAACCCAAAGGGTTGGGGAAGACAAGTGCTGGAAAGAAGACTTGATAAAGGGAGATAACCTGCTTGGGGAGTTGGAAATATTGCCAAGCTTTGGTGCCTGTTTATCAACAAACAAAGGATAGGCTGAAGAGTTATGCCCTAACAATAGGGAAGGGTGGTGGTGGGGGAGAAGCTCTTTGGTATGGTGTGGTGGCTGCTTCTTCAAGACCCATGGAACAGCAGAGCTATCCTTACCTGCCAGCTGTGCTAGGAAGGCTGACTGGTGTTACAAAGGATGGATGCTGTAGAGGAGAGCGCGCTGTAGGCCACAGATATCCCAATCATTGGTGTGCACAAGAGTTGTTTTCCTCCATCTGCATGGGGAGCAGTGGGAGTATGTTGTGGGACCTGGTTTGCTTGTCAGAAAGCAGATGAACATGTGCCTGTTTACAAATCAAAACAGTGCCCTTGCTAATTCTAAATCTCTGTCTCAGTGCTCCTTTTCCTGCTGGCAGCATGGAGAGAAGTTCCACACGTGGCTGGTCTCAGTTTGGTTTTCTGTCACCGGTACGTGTTGAGAATCTTGTGTGGTCTCTTGCCTTGACCTGTTCTCCATCTCCCTTTGAGAATTGGGACCTGGTTCCCCGTGGTTACTTTGGATAGTTCTAATTCCTTATGCTCCATTCTTTTTTATTTCTATCCTGTTTGCTACCTATAGCCTATTAAGGCTGACTGATGTAACCTCTGTGTCCTTCTCCTTGAATTTGTGCTGGAAGTTCTTGATTAAATCATACCAGGTATGCTTGCAGTAATCTTCCTTCCTGATTAAATGGCAATTCAGTAGTTCACAGGTGATTTGCTGAAACCTTTTTTTTCCAATAGATGTTCTCTTAGGGTCTCACTTTTCCATCCACAG